TTTTAGAATCCCCCCCCCCCCATTTACTTGGTTCACAAGATTAGAATAAGGTGTAGATCTGAGCTTACAGGATTTGTCTGTATTAGGATTACTTGGGGACTTTATTTTTTCCTACTGCTTTTTGTCATTTTTGCAGATCATCCAGAAGTGATTGTGTATGCATTCACAAATCTATTTTTGATTTGTTGAATTAAATCAGGGCAGTTCATCATTAGATTTACCGTCATTCTTTTACAACCCGAAAGTTACTTTGATAGAATTATTTTTCTTTTGAAATTGTCTAATGCTAAGCATGGAAGTTCTAATTGAAATTATATGTGACAACATTCCATAGCTTTGTTGGTCCACATTGGCTATTTGGAAGAATCTTCAAGCTGCTTCTGCCTAGTTATGAATGGAATTGCATAAGCATAAAAATCAGTATATTCTCAATCCTTAAAACGACGCCAGAATGAAATGTTTTCATTTCTTTAAAGCTGTGCCTTGAGGAAATTTTATTAAACAACAGTGTAGAGAGATTTTTCTCTTTGAAATTGGCTGTTTTGTCTGTAGGCTTGTCTTCATTATGATTATTTTGTTAAAATTAATTTATTTGCAGTTAAAATATTCTTTTTAACCCTATAGTAGTTAGTTAAGACTTTAGATTCTTCTTTTGGGAAAGATTATGTGGGGAGGCAGTGTAGGTGAACTTCAAGGAAAAATGAATGCCAGTTAAATATACGCCCACTAATGTGAGTGGATTTTTTTTTTTTTTTTTTTGGAAGACCTGAAGGTGGAGTACATTTTAACTAGCACTAGAGGTCCTCAGTTGACTACAAATATACTAGGGTGAAGATGTAGACTCAGGTCCTTTTCATGTGTTTATTTGGTAATAAATGCTATTTCTAGAAATGTTCAAAGAGACTACATATTATCTGATTTAGGTCACTGTAATTTAGAAGGATTATTTCCTGGATTTATTTATTTTTTTAAAGTATATCTTTTATTGATTTCAGAGAGAGGAAAGGAGAGGGAGGGAGAGAGAGAGAGATAGAAACATCAGTGATGAGAGAGTCATTGATCGGCTGCCTCCTGCAGGCCCCTGACTGGGGATTGAGCCCACAACCTGGGCATGTGCCCTGATGAGGAATCGAACCCTGATCGCCTGTATTCTAGTTCGATGCTCAACCGCTGAGCTACTCCCGCCCAGGCTATTTCCTGGATTTCTAACCTCTGGGTTTACTCCTTTGCTGGTAAGGTTAGCATTGTGTTAATTCACAGCTTAGATGAAGGTTAGTGATTTCCATAGCATAAATAACAAAACAAGGTTCCTCGTTCAAGCCCCTTGAAATATATGGTATTGAATGTTTTAAATGGTAGCATGTGAGGAGGTCAGAAATGAAATTGAGGAAAGCTAAAGATTTAATATATAACTGGACCTAAGTGTGAAAGTATGGTTTTGTGAAAAGTTTTGAAAAGTTAACCTGGATTTTAGGTTATCAAGGTTAAATAGATTAAAGGCATGAGTATTTTAGGCATGAATAAAATTAAAAGGAAACTTAAATTTGATCGATTATGTTATTTTTTAAAGTCTGTGTAACTATTTTGAGTTTTGCCTTCCAGGGATTATTACTTAATAACTAAGGTCATCTGTAACTTTCTTATATCTTTGGCTTTGAAAATGATCACGATAATATTATATAGGCTATTAAGGATATAATGCCTTGTGCATTAACTTTAAATGAAATGGAGTGGTTTTGATATACAAGTTTGTATCCTCTAACTGCTTTTTGAGAGTACCATTAACAGTATTTGAGGACTTTTAATCTGTTTGCTTTTTCCGTTGTCATGATTTATTTTTAAGCCATGTTGATCTGTGGATAGGATGTGCATGTGGTTTAGAGTCAGGAAATCTTGGCCCTTGCCAAGGCTCCGCCATTTCCTAGCTCTGTGACCTTGGGCAGTTCACCTTTTCACATCTGTTTCCTAAGTTGTAAAATAGAGATGCAGTGTCAACATATAGGGAACTAAGAGGGACAAATGAAATATTTGTATACACCAGTGCAATTAGAAATTTTTCAAGAGTAAAGAAGGAAGTTTTCATTGAACTTTTATTTCTAGCATTGGTAACAAATATACAGTCTTACTTAGGTAATCTAATCTTTACATTTAATATTTACTTAAAATTTTAATATATAACTTATTACATAAATATATAGCACATTTAATAAATTAAAAATTTTATTCTCTTTGAACTATTTTATCTATACAAATATTCTAATTAGTGAGATTAAGAAACAATATGTACAAATATGCAACCAAATGCATTTTTTTCTGGAATTTTTTTTCCTTAATGGTCACTAAAATACTATTAAAATAATTTTTGAAACTTGAGTTTTAGGACATGACAGTGATATGACTGACATTTCTTAATAAAGCAAAGTACTCTAGCTCTTTCATGCGTTTTTCATAATTTAAACATCTTTCATATTTCCATTTTATTCCATCTGACACTATTTTTAAGCACTTAATTTTAAACCACATAGCTTTATAAACAAAGACAGTACTTAAATTTTACCTCATAATAGAGATGGACTAGTTGGGATCTAATGTCTGGCTCTAGGGCATAATATTTGAAATTTGAACAACAGTCACTGTTAATCTGGACATACCCTCTTAAGGGGGTAGCATTTATGCTCTTTCTAGAAATTGTCAATTTTTTGGAGCAATATGTGATGTAATCTGATAGTATAAAGACTCACAAACATCTCATTTGAAATGTGAGAATGTAATTTGGTATTTGAGTAAAAATTAATAAATAAGCATATAAAACATCTGCACTGAGTCACTCTGTGTAATAACAAAAGAAAAATATTTTATAAATATAAAGATATTCAGAGGCAGTTAGGGCACCTCAGTGCGGACAAAAATTAGAAATGTTTTTGCTTGCTTTAAGTAGTGCTGCTTACGGATATCCAGAGTTCTCGTCTGTATAAAGCAGTAGAGTTAACATTCTCTTAGGAACTTAGAATTCTATAGGTAAACTTTATTTTGTTGATATACATATAAAAATAAAAAGAATGAAATAAAATTGAAGTTTTATTCTTTATGCCATGACTGAGATTTAGGAATGTAGACATTTCATATATTACATTGAGGATTGTAACATTAAGACTAGGGTAGAATTCAAACAGAAGTTATGCAATTTATTATGGCAACTTTATTCCTAAAGCATTTC